TTTGAACCATGGCTTTGATACCACTGAAGGGAGGAGAGGTCAATCGTATGGACGCCCAAAACTTGCGGAATAAGGTGGGCGAATTTCAAAAATTTTTCTCTCCCTTTCAACTGGGAATCACATTCCCTATTTAGAAAATCATATTTTCAAGGATCAATCTTGAACCATAAACTGAACTAGATCTGAACCAAAAGGACTAGGGAGAGGTATACCTGATACAGAGAAATGTTATCTCTCAATGGAGGTGTTCACGCCCAAGGAAGGATCCAAAGACTGCTCCCACTGAAGATGACACAGTGCAGGATGGAGCAGAATCAGCAGCGTTCTCTAAGAACCTGATCCTTCGTAAGAATAGCTGGATGGCACGTGAGCACTGCTTCCAAATGTCAAGATTGAATCTTGATTTCTCCTACAAAGTTGGAGATTGAACTGGAGGTCTGGTGGTGGCAGCAAGGAGGCGGCAATAAAGTATTTCACAGAGATTGCAGAAATCTTTCTTTTGTGATTTCAACTCTGAAGACTAGAGATCTTGGTGTATTGTTCTGTATGTCTAAGGGCTGCCGCCCCTTCTTTTTCTTGTAACCCTAAAGGATCAGCTCCTAATCCAATTAGGAGCTGCTGATCCAAATCACATTTGGATCAGACATCTCTTTAGGTGATAAGGATAAACCCTTATCTTATCTGTGGATTAGATCAGTCCTCTCCTAATCCTATTAGGAGGCTGATTTAGATCTTGAACTCTCTGAGTGGATAGGGTCAAGGCCTAATCCTATTAAATGATATAATCCCAGATCCGCTCCTCATTTAAATTAATCAAATTAGCCCAATTCGAAATGGGCTTTAGGCACATTAAGGTTATGTGCTCACTTAGCCTTCCAAACTGTTGCCCAGTTGGGCTTCCTTGTATGGCGTGGGACCCCAACATTGATCTACACATCAGCCACATGGGTTCGGCCCAGCCTTTGTTACAAGGCCTGGCCGAATACACTGTTATGGATAGTGCACCCCCTGAAACCCATCAAATGGGCTCTATGGGCCCAACACTTACCCTAAGTGGTCCTTGGGCCAAACTACCTTGTAACACCCAGGGACTGTGGGCAGATGCAAGATTAGCCCATCAGGTATTGCGCTCAATGGTTTTACACTCAACCTCTCAGCTCATAATGATCAAACACTACCCGACAAGGGAGGACCTCTCCCTCAGCTACAAGGAACAGTGCTGCACTTTCTGCCTATATGGATCCCGGGAATTAAAACATTTTGCAAACATTTTGGAAACCATAATATATATACTTTTATATCTCATATAAAATATATTTTGCAAAACAAATCTCAACGATTAAAATCGGTTGCCGGCTGTCCTGGTTTCCATCAGTGAGAGTGCATCCCCGATCATTACCTTTGTCCGACAAAGGGGCTGATCCTGTCACTATGATCACCCACTCAGATGAATTCTCAAACTGTCCCAACATACCTAGGTTTTGACCCCCCGCTAAGGATCTCACCGATTGGTACATAAAAAACAACCCAATCTGACACCTAGTGTAGTATCATAATCGAGTCTAGGGGTCAGGTGTAACTTTCCAATTTTGCCCATTAATCTCCAAGGTCCAGGGCAATACTGGAAATCTGGTTCAGTTCAAAGATTCAATTAATTCTACACTGTATGTGCCTAGGGTCTCACCCTGGCAGCTGAGACAGGCCACCCCAACCGACTTGGTGGCACAACAGTGTCAGCCTTATCAGGATAGGTCTCCCCAGACCGATCCACTGGCTGTGAACATTCTAAACTAACACGAGTCTCATTAAGTGTCAAATTTAAGGGTATTACACAGAAACATACCAATGGAACATGAATCAAATATGTACTTTTATTCATTTACAGTAAACTCATAATGTACATCATTCTGATTGAAGCTAAGGGCATACAAAACTGTCTAACACAAATGACCTTAGCTTCATAGCTCGACAACCCTAAAGGAACCCGTCTTTGCAGCTCGACGCCCTGTGGCCGAGCATCACAACCTCAATTCCGGAGCTCGGCCTCCAACCGACAGCAAAAGGCCTTTTCTTGACATACGGCCGAGCTAAGCCTCGACTTCGGAAGCTCGACACATCATAGTTGAGCATTACACAAGCCCTAACTCCGAAATATGAACCCAACTCCAAAGCTCGGTGCACCATGGCTGAGCATCACCACGGCATAGAAGCTCGACTTCCACTTGGGATCAGAGCCGTTCCTCGGCTTCACCAGGACAACCTTGGAAGCTTAGTTCGACACCTTAGCTCTCTGCCAAGCTACGCAACCGCGCAACACTTCGGGCCAAGCACTCCCCATCCTCGGTTGTAGAACTGGGGGAGTGGTGTTCGAATTCCGAGGTCAGAGCTCCTAGAGTTTTGCAGCCGACAATGGAAAGATTCCTCGGCCATTTTCCATATTACCCGGTTCTCAAGATTCCAACAGGCACCAAGGAACACCAAAGGGGCCAGATACCCATCCAGGCATCAACTTGAAGTTCTTCAGCCAAAGAATGAATTGGACTACTTCATTCCTCGACTTCAGAACTGGGAGAGTGGTGTTCAGGTCATGGCTGAGTTGGCCCTGTGAGACATGTGGCCTCCCAGCTATCGCCCTGTCACGTCATCCTAGATCGGCCACGTCGGCATAGTTCGGCCACATGGGCCTGGCTTGGGCGAGCTATGCTATTACTATGGCCTCCCATCTTATCCTTCCAGCCATGTCAACTATACGTCGTATGGATGAGCACAACTGCAGATAAGGAGGCATAAGGAAAGACGACTTCGTTGGAGAATGAGACTCTATCTCAAATGCCTCGATGGTTAACCTCATCCCGACAACCCCGGAAGCCCAATCCGAACAGGACACGGATCTTCGGCTATAAAAAAGTACTCCATGCTCGAGGTAAGGGATCCAACTTTTGATACCCGTATTGCTATTTAGCTCGGACTGGCATCCTCATAACTCGGCCCGACCACCCAGCACCTCTTACTGACTTGAGCGTCGGAGTACTTATCCGGGGATAGTTCCTTGGGCCTCTGATTTCTTTCTTAATTACAGGTCTTGAAGTATGAACTCGTCCTTGTAGCTCAGTCTCACCTTGTCAGCAAGGACTATCTGATTGCTCTCCTCAATTCGTGCACCAATAGTAATGAAAGTGACCGTGGATAAACCATATTCATCCAAAGGTTGTTTAAAGGAATTACTACAGTCAATATTTGTAAATGAGAATTATTTTGTAAATTGCAACTGTATAACTGCTTATTCTGTTGAAATTCGCATCTTGGTGTTTTGAACTGAACAAATATTGATACAGCTGCAACTTGCAACCGTTAACTCTGCAATGTTTTACCTTTTTTCAAAATACAAGACTTGTTCCTTAGTTGAAAGAGTGTTTTCTCATACCCAAATATAAGGTTCAGTTTGTAACCTCTGACTTGTTCAAATCACAACAGTGAAGCATGAATCTGAACCGTGAATGGGGAGAATCACAAAAATGTTTTTCGTACTAGAGGTCTGTATCTTTCCACTAATGAATGGGGAGAATACAAAAGTTCATAGAGGAGATTGAATGCCCAGTTTGTAGCCCCATTGAACGAAAAAGAACATGGAAAAAACAAGAAATTAAAAAAAAAAAACTTTTTCCAAAATTAAAGGATTAATTTAGCCATATGACAAGGTCTTTAGTTTTCAGTTCAAAATACCTCCATTAATATAAGATTGTGAGCAGAACTTAACGGGGAAATTTTGAGCTCTAGACCAATTTGCTACGTGCAAGGCTCAGTCATTCAGTCTTCATAAACAATTCTACTAGCTAAGGTTCCTTCGTCAGTTCAATTAAAGAGCTTCCTTAGACAACACCCTTCAAATTTTTTTGGCACCTGAAAAGGATACTATCACCAACGTAATTTAACTGTTCATTACAAAGGGGATCCTCTTGAGCAGTCGTATGCTCATTCTGGCACTCTACATGATTTTGCGGCATGAGGTTATGAGTCAAGATATGCTCCATGAATGTATTCTTAAAAATTATAATCTTGGACTTGGACTGTCGATAATTCATTAGTGAATTCAAAACATGTGGTGAGACGGGTAAAACCCCTTTTGAAAAAAAGCTACATTAATGTGTCAGCCATTAAAATGTTCACCGAGCAAACAAAGAAATAAAACAACGAAACAGAGATAATAACATCTAATAATAGAGACAAGTGTTCACCGATCAAACAAATAAATAAATCAATAAAAAGAAACCAATGAAAAAGAGAGAAAAAATTGATATCTATAGCAGAACGTGCAACGATCCATAGACAGGAGCAGAGATGCACCACCAAATGCTTATAATAAAAAAAAAAAAAAAAAAAAAAACGGGATACACCGCATTCAATTCCCAATTTAAACGGAAAAACAAAAAAAGCTCAATGGTTGAGTTCCATACTTGTGAGTGACGAAGTTGAGATTTGAATGAGATTCGAGCTGGAAAGAAAACAAACAACGTTTGAAGTGAGATTCAACTGTGGGTAGAGAAGATATGAAACCTGGTTTGAAATATTACCTGAGAAAGCTGAGATGTCGACAACGCTAGAGTAGACCGGTAGAGAGTCGTTGCAAGAAGCAATGAAAATGTGAATGAAATGAGCTTGAGTTGTTTTTAATATCGGGCCAATAGATAACGATATTTTGAACCTTGTATTTACCATAATACCCTTATTTTCACGTGTGACTCTCGTTACATGTGTTCGTTTTTTTAATAATGACGATGCAATAATGAATTAAGGCCGAGAATTCATTTTCAGAAGTCATATTTTTTCACTCCATAGAATCACTGGCGGAGGAGTTCTCATCCCATTCGAATGAGAAACCAAGAAGGTCCGACAAAACCAAATAAGATTCTCATTCTCAGAATCGTCAGAAACGATTATTTAGAGTGATGCCAAACAGGGTCTTAATTTCCAAAAGCCTTGGGTAGTTTAAGAGATAATCAATCCCATATCCGGCACAAGTTTAACAGTTATTTTCGTGAAGGCAAGAAACCGGTGCTACCAGGACAGATACTCGTACCGGATGTCCTACTAGGGTTTATATAGGGTTTCTGTTCGGCATCTGATCTGCTAGGACAGGAGGTAAGAGGGAAGGAAGGCGACCATGACTTCTTTATCCTGCCATGGCCTTCCCGATTTGGCGCCAGAGTCCCTCGCTGCTTCCGGTCGAAGCGCGGAGAAGCTGAGCCTTCCTGCCCTGCAATCGAAGATGAAATGCGACCCTGAAAGCTACGAGTCCGAGCTCCTCCTTCTCTACCGCCATTTCGATTCCGTTCTTCATCTCTTCCAGCAGCAAGCTTCTTTCAACTTCACTTCGATCGGCGGGGTCGGTAGCGACCCAACTGTCGCCAAGGACCTGGGCGACATGGCCATGTTCTTGGCTCATGTCACTCCCTTCTATCCCAAGCACCTCGCAGATTTTCCTAAACAACTTGCTGACTTGCTCCGCTCTTCTTCTCGGTCGCTTCCGTCGTCTCTTCGATGCCATCTAGTTCAAGCCCTAATCCTTCTCATCAATCGCAAGGTATTCCAATTATCCCCTTATTGCTACTTTACTTTTGGTTCTATGTATATTTACATTTTTCCACAATTACTTAACACTCTGATGCTTGTAACGTATATCCCCGAAACTAAAAAAAGAAAAAGGAAAGCACATGTAAATTATAGTTTGGAATTTCTATGAATGCTCTTGGTTTTCTTTTTCAAATCTCCATGCCGGAACAATTTGATGAATTCTTACATGAGCTTTGGGAATTTCTGGTATGAATAAACTCTACTGGTCCTTAAAATTTGAATCTGCAAGATTTACTGATTTTTTAGTGCAATATTCGTTTGTGAGTGATCAAAGAGTCTTGATAAAAGATGAAAAAACTATTTTAAAAATATATTAAATGGAGAACACGTAAAGGGTACTAGTCAAGGATCAAAGTATAGTCAGATACTGATAAAGGCATGGATATGAACGAAAGATATAGAAATGCTTGGATACGCTAGTGAAATGCATACAAATCACAAATCACATTAATACATTAATAATACTAAACCAAAAGCTGAATTATTTATGAACAAGATATAAAGACATGAGAAATGCATACTTCAATATGTTATATGAAGAGAAATGTTACAATAAACAATACCGGGACTCTAGAACATTCAAACATTGTACACTAATTATCATACTTTCATTTTTATAATTATAATTTTCAATTTTATTAATTTTTGGGAATATTTATTAATTTAGTATTTTATTTAAATAACAACTATTTTTTAAATAATAAAATGTTTTCATTTTTAACATATAATCTTTTTATTTTACACACAATTGTAAAATAAAACAAATAAGTCATTTAAGGTAGATAAAATAAATTATATTTAATTTTCAGTTTTTATTATATCTTTTGGGAAAATAATCTTAAATTATTCGTTTCAGTTTTTATAATTATAATTTTCTGTTTTCCATTAATTTTGTTGGAAAAATTTATTTATTTAGTATTTTTATATAATAACTATTTTTTCAAATAATAACTATGTTTTCATTTTTAACATATAATTATGTGTAAAATAAAATATATAAATCATCTAAGGTAGATGAAATATATTATTTTTATAATTTTTAGTTATTATTATTTTTTTGGAAAAATTAAATCATAAATTATTATTTCAGTTTTCATAATACTATTTTTTAACTTGTATTAAAGATAAAAAACAATCCGAAAGTACTCAATTTACAATTTTGTCAAACTAGACACGGATACGCCTCCGTATCGGTGTGTATCAGACCGTATCCACCGATATGGTGCGATAAGCTCTGATACGGAGGCATATTGTACCAATACGCACGACTCATAGGTTACATATCCAGTTGTAGCGTATCTTGTATCCATGATCATGGATACGGATATGATACGCCCCGTATCGGGAGTATCGTATCGATACCTTAATCCTTGGGTGCTAGTGGTAAAATTGGAATTACCGAAGACACTAAATTAGATGAAGGGAAAGATATTAGGACCTGATGGTATCCCAATAGAAGTGTGGAAAGGAATGATAGAGGTAGGCAAACTATTAAATAAAACAATGGAAACAAAGAAAATGTTGGATGAATGGAGAAATTGCATTGGTGTCAATTTTTAAAAATGAGGGCGATGCACAAAGTTGTAATAATTATTGTGAAATTAAACTTATGCGCCACACTATGAAACTTTGGGAGAGTAACTAAGTAGAGGTTATTGCATGAAATAAATATTTTAGAGAACCAATTTAGGTTTATGCCAAGGAGATCAACCATAGAAGTCATCTTTCTGTTAAGATGAGTGATAGAAAATTATAGAGAGAAGAAGAGATATCTTCATATGGTATTCATAGGTCTAGATAGAGCATGTGGTAGTCTCTAGAGAGTGGTGGGTTTTGGAAAAGAAAGGAGTCCCAAATGGGTATGTGACTAATTAAGGATATGCATGAGGATGCAAAAATCATTATAACACCCATGGGTGAGGCTTCATATTTTATTGTTAGAATGGGTTTTCACCAAGGTTCAACACTTGGTCCTTATTTATTTGCAATAGTCATAGATGAATTGATTACACATATTCAAGAGCATGGTTTTCAAGGTGCCAAGCCACCAAGGCAAGGATATGCGACAGAGGGGCGCCTTGTTGCCTTGTCGCCTAGTTGCCTAGGCGATGGATTTTTTTTTTAAATAAAAAACATATATATCCTAGTGTAGTTGCCTAGGTTCCATACCATATTTCCTTAAAGTATAGAAAATCAACATATTCATGAGAAAAAAAAGAAGAAAGAAAAGAAAACTCAAAAAGTATAGGGGCTTTTGTTATAGGAAAAGAGGAAGAGAAAAGGAGAAGAAGAAGATTAAACCCTAACAAATAAGAAAATAATAAAAAGAAATTAATATATAAACACACAGAATGGATATTTTAGTTTAATAATGTCTATTTTATATATTTATCAAAAAATGTCTATTTTATAATTATTATCTAAAAAAATTAAAAATACGAAAGTGTTTTATAACACAATATACAGAACTGCTTGGTTATTAGGTGAGGCGAGCTTCCAAGGGTGCCTTGTCGCCTAGGCGTCACCTTGACAACTATGTTCAAGAGGAGGTCCCATGGTGCCTGATGTTCATGGACAACAACATTAAAAAGAAGAGGTTCATGGACAATTGCATTAGAAAAAAGAGGTTTTAAAACAAGTAGGACTAAAACAAAATATATGCAATGTAAATTTAATAATAATAATAATAGGAGTGCAGACCAAGTTACACTTAGGATTGGAGACCAAGAGATAACTCAATGTGACCTCATTTGTTACCTTGGTTCAATAATTCATAACAAAGGAGAGATTGAGGAGGATGTCACCCATAGAATTAGAGCATGATGGGAAAAATGAAGGGTTGCAAATTTGCATCTGGAGTCTTATTTTATTTTATTTTTTTGAAGGGTAAGATAAATTTTATTAGAAAGCAGCAAGCTTATAGTACAACAGCTCTCTAGCCTCAGTGAACAGCCAAGAGACCATAACAGATTACAAGCTCTAAAGGGAGTGGGATCTTAACAACTCAGACACATTCTGATTTATGAAATCAGATTTAACAGAAACCCAAGAAATCAGTCTGCTAACAGCAGAATGGATTACATCTTCTGGGCTCTTCTCTTTGTTACAAAAAATTCTACTGTTCCTTTCAGTCCAGATAGACCAGAGTACAGCTGCAGGTACACACTTCCACACAATCTTTCCTTTTTTCTTCAGACCTTAGACATTCCTGCAGCACATTAGAAAGTCTTTGATTGAGCTTGGCATAACCCAACTAATCCCAGCTGCATTGAGAAAGTGATCCCACACGGGCCACACCTTAGAAGTGAAAGTACAATGTAAGCCCAAATGGTCAATCGTTTCAGGGATCATACCACAAAGGCCACAAGACAGATCCAAGAGATGCAGACTCCTTCTCTCCAGATTTGTTCTAGTGAGGCACTTATTCAGAGACATAGCCCACACCAGAAAGCTCACTTTTGAAGCGGGGGGGGGGGTAAGATTCCAAACTTGCTTGCAGGGGGAATCTGATAAACCTGAACTATTCAATTTTAAAGCCAAAGATTTCACTGAGAATCACCCATTAACATTTCACTTCCAACCAAGGTTCGAAATTTCAATACGTATCAGCCGATACGTATCGTATCAGGGGCTTTCCTGATACGCCTCTCTAGGGGGTGTTTTGGGATTTTGACCAGTTCACGGGGTGGATGGACCTTAAAATCGGCTCCTCTGAACCGGATTTGAAAAAAAAAATCCAAAGAAAAAACTATCGATACTGCCCGATACGCCTCTACCAGCATGTCGGGCGTATCGATATTTTGAACCTTGCTTCCAACACCACTTATCCTCCTTGCTGATGTCGATTTCTTGCCTCTATAACAAGTTCAGCAAATTCATCACTTCCCCAATTTCCCAATCAAATAAATTCCTTCTGAATTGAGGAGCCCAGACTACAGAATTTTCAGACCAAACATAAGAATCAGCCACCAAAACATCTTGGTCAGAAAGCACATTGGAAGAGGAGAGGGAAGGTTTCAGCCAGGGTACAGCCCAAACACCAAGGATCTGTCCAGAACTTTAACCTTCCCCTTTACCTACTTTAAACCCCACCCCTTCGAAAAAAGTTGGGAAACACTTCATGATTCCTTTCCAAAGAGAACAGCCTCAACTTGGAAGGGAATCCTGAGTGCACCAAACTCCCCACATCACCCCAAACTTGGCTGCAATTAGATTTCTCCACCAAGCATTCCTTTCAGTACCAAACCTCCAAATCCACTTACTATGGAGGGCTGTGTTAATTAATTTTCTAATACCCAAACCCCCTTCTTCAATAGGAAGACAGACTTGCTCCCACTTATGGGATAGGAAATTACTACTTCAGCTAAAAGGAAAATTATATAAAGCAATTTTTTGTCAGTGATGTTGTATGGAGCAGAGTATTAGACAGTTAAGAAACAAGGTGTCCCAAAAATGAGTGTGGCAGAAATGCAGTGGTAAAATAGGAAGAAAAAGGTTAGAACTGAAGCCATATGAAGGAACCTAGGAGTAGCTCCAATAGGTGACAAAATGAAAGAAAGTAGATTGAGATGGTGTGGTCACGTGAATAGAGAAGATTGTCTACAACACCTTTCAGAAAGAAAAGTGATTTGTTTCAAGTTGTAGGGGCTAGAAGAACTAGGGGCAGACCGAAAAAGACATGGGTGGAAGTAATAAGAAATGATTTTAAGTGCCCATAGTTTAATAATGGATATGGCACTGAACAGAATGGATTGGCAAGACAAGATTCATGTAGCTAAGTTGCGTAATTGAATAGGAAAAGAAATATCTGTGGTGAAACCAGGGTTTAGTCACTGTCCTACTTTGTAGTTGGAAGTAATGTGAACACAATTTTTAAGTGATAAAGACAAAGCCCACTAAATTGTCTTTATCGCTTAATGAAATCAGTTATCTTCTCTCATGTACATCCCTCCCATTTTTTTTTTTTATCTTCTCTCAAAAAAACATTAAGTGATAAAAAAATGTGAATAGAATTTTACTTGTTATTCATTGGAAACCACAACTGATTTAATTCATTGTCATGCTTATAGGATTCTATAAAATTATCAGTTATAAGTTGAGTGCAAAGTGAATAAAGAACCCACAGTCCAAGCACCATTTTTTATGCAATACCCTACTTAAGACCAAGCAACACATGACATTTTTTTTTGATAGGTACCAAGCAACACATGACATTGTAAATAAGCAAGAGATTATTCAACTTAAACTCTTTTCTTTGTTTGCCCTTTTTAAATTGTCACGTTTTTTTTTTTTTTTTTTTTGTTTCATAGGTAGTTGATATTGGAGAAACTCTTGCACTATTTATGGAACTTCAAACTCTAGGAGACAGGGCTTTAAGGAAGCTAGCATTTTCTCATGTAGGGCACAGCATTCGGCGCATGAATCAGACACATAAAAATGAAGCTAAGAATCGAAGACTACAGAATATCCTATTTGCAATGCTCCAGGTAGGTATTAAATTTTGATATGCACTACTAATTTCTTTGGCATTGTTAGTATTATTCTTTGTATGCATTCTAAGTTTTTAATTGATGCTTATTAAAGGAGAACTAGACTTTACAGATTTAACCAAGTCAATGCATTACTAATTTCTGAAATTGTTTGTTGTTTCAGGAGGAGGATGAGTCAAAAGCTAAAAGATCTCTTGTTGTACTTTGTGATCTTCATCAGAGAAGAGTCTGGTTTGATGATAGAACAGCAAATGCTATATGTCTTGCATGTCTCCATTCATCTTCTAGGTATCCATTTACCCCAAAACTCCAAGAGAAACATGGAACTTCTATTTTATTCTGCACTGTATGTTTTCATCCATCTTTGAGGCATGCATTCTCTTTTGAATAACAGGGAACATGTCTTTTAACCTGAACTCTGCAGGATTATGATTGCTGCTTTGTCATTCCTTCTTGGTTATGAAAAGATTGAAGAAGCTGATGATAGTGAAGATTCAAACAGTGAAGATGATATGGCTTCTGAAAATCCTCAAGTTATTCTTAGTAGGGAGGCTGTCTACAAGGTAGTTAACTCAATTTTATCCTATTTATGTTAATGCTAGTGAAAGCTACTCCTATTTTTTGTTTGCCATGTTCTGTTGCGATGCTGTCTAGAATATGCCCTCTAAAGCACTTTATGTATTTGATTTTACTCCTCTTTGTATTTAAATAAACCAAACTTTCGTTTCTTCTTGGTTGATGATGAACTTAAGAAGGTTTTGAAAGTAAGATTCATTTGGGGAAGCAACTTTTTTTTTTATAAGTATTGGGGAAATAACTTCTTGTGGTGTTGTATTGGGTATTATTTCTTGTGTTGTATATTTGGGAACAGAGATGGGCAAATAATGAGTGGGTTGGGTTAATGGTAGTTCATTCAGAAAATGAAGCCATGGACTTGGTTTCCAAAATCCAAATTTTGAATTGGCCACGATGCTATTAAATTTTATTAGATTGGCAAACTTTTATTATTATTATTATTATTATTATTTCATTTGATATGATCTCTTTCTGTATGGTAAATGAAGTTCTCTTTGGTAATTTTGAAGATATTTGCTTTGTAAACCTGCTTTTTTGTTTTCCTTGGTCAATTTTAGATTGTAAGATTGGTTATCTCAACTGGTTTAATTTGTGATATGGAAGATACAATGCTGCTGTTTGACTATACCTGTTTATCTGCATTAGCCAATCTGGAGAATGCAATTGTCAAGCTTGATATTGAGGAGGACAGTAAGAAACATAATCTCTTGGGTATCTGTAAGGGGACAGTGTAGGGATAATTCAGCTTTGAATCATTTGTCCCCAGAGGTTTTTTGAGCTTAACGAGTCACAAGTATTCCTTATTTTTTGTAGAGTTTCACTGTAATTTTCTGTAAAGGGATATACCCTGTATGGATTTTTATTTTAATACAATATACCTTACCATTTTAAAAAGAGTGAAGCTTGATATCACCAATCTTCTTTGCTACAGTCAATATGTAGCAAAATTGTCAATACAATTCTGAAAGTCAAATGTGTGTAGTATTCTTATTGACTTGGGTATGTGACCATGAATACTGCACTCTATCAAGTATTGTATCTATTACTATTGTAGTTATCATTATTAAGATGTCTGCACATAGAGAAGAAGATTTTCTTTTGGAATTGCTGCAATTGACTTTTATCATTTTAACTCTGAAGCAGAATTAGGTATTGCTGATGTAAAATCTATATTTCTCCCATCATGAAGTATATTTACCAGGAACCTGTTTTGCTTAAGCAAAACCTCCAAATGACTTTTCCAGAGGGATTTGGATATTAATGTAGGCTTTCTAGTTTCTACATCCCTTCTCTTCTATATCAAATATGGTTCTCATGTTCTGATCGGCATGTTTTGCTCTTTTTGATGGTATGATAACTGATACATCTTTGTTTGTACCTTAGTTTCTCTAAACCTCCAGCTGTTCTTCATATTATTTTTCTAAGTTTTGTGTAAATGAATATGTTCATATAATGCCCATTTTATTCATATTTGCATTGCTTTTATTATTTTGTAGGTTTATGAAAGCTGAAATTTCTTTAGACATCAAGCATATCCTATTGTCAGGATCAGTTTATCTCACATATTCATGTTCTCCACCTTATACCAGCATCATTTATGTGTCCACTTTACGTAGGTTTAAATCCCACCATGCAAAGTACAGTTCTGAACTACTATTGTATACGAAAGCATAAAACAAGGAAATATGGATTGATGTATTGTGTTTATCATATCCTCTAGTTCTTTATTTGAAATTAGAGGATGATGGTTTGAAATGGTTGGCATTCTCATATATAGGTTTTCTCAGTGGAAAAAATTAAGTGAATACCCTTATTTTTGATATTTTAGCAAATGACATGCCACAACTCACAAATTGTTGTTTTCACAATTATGTTTTTTTTGATAAATTTGTTTTCACAATTATGTTAATGAATCAATTTTTTGTAGTTTCCCTCAATGTTTAGCACCAACAGTTTTATGTATCTCTAACCTGTTATTGCCTAACTGGACTTTATAGGCATATCACAAAGGTACAACTTCTAGCAAGAAGAAAAAGCAAGCAAAATTGCAACGTGTCATTCGAAGCCTGAAAAAGCAGCAAAACATGTCATCTGATAACAACAATCCAAGATATTCACCACTTAACCATCTGAAAGATGCACAGGTTGGTTCTGTATCATCATCCCCAGCTTTATTCATGTGACACATAGGATGTTTCTGATGCCTACCTTTCGTGCAGGGATTTGCTGAGAAGCTATTTTCTCGCCTTCAGGCTTGCAACGAACGGTTTGAGGTAGATTTTATTTAACTTCTTCTTTTATTATTCCCTGCCTTTGCCTCCTCTAGTCATATACTTATGTGGCTTGCTTGAAGAGTACTTGCAAAACACAAAAATGCCATATTACTATTTTCTAGAAAGGGCCTCCAATCAATGTTGGTTCAACTATCTTTGGTTGTGGGAGGGGTGGACTGGTTCAGTTATCTTAAAACCTATGCTTTTAGAACGCATTTTGAAATTTAATAGCCCCAACTTATAATGCTAATTATTTGGTGGCCTGGCTTGTTATGTCTTGGAAGGTAAAATTTGTGTATGAAATGCTAGTTACATGCCTACTGTGGACATGAAGGTCCTAAATTAAAAAAACAATGCCGTAACTCAATGTTGGTTGCGGCTATCTGTGGTCTTGGGAGGGGTGGACTGGATATGATCCTAACCTTTGGCATTTTTTCCCAAAAAGTGGCCACTCTCAGACTTAAAACCCATTTTCTCACACTTGATAGCTTGAGATTTTACCATTATGCCATGTAATGGTCCTAAATTTGAATATAGAAATTTTCTAGTTTTTTCTAAAATTTGGATCGTTGGTATAATTTGGACATTTTGCATTTTTGATGCAGGTTTCAATCATCGTGTGTTGTTTGTCTTATAACTATTAGGATTTGTTTGAATTTCAAAATCATCAGATAACTAAGTTAGAAGTTAATGTCATATCTCTTTGTTGTACAGTGACAGTTGCACATGAAAACACAACTAACATAAGAAGAGAGTTAGGGTTTAGAAAAAGAACACCAACAGAGTCTCTAAGAGCAAAATTTCCAATTGATTTGACATATGAGCTGACAAAAGATGCAAGAAGTTACTAAAAACAAGTCTTCTCAACAGAAATGACAAATAAAAACTAGAGGTCTGCTCACTTATCAAAAAAGAAAAAAAGGTCTGCTTTAGCAAGAGAAGACAAGTCAAAGAAAGCCTTCCACGGTTTAAAAAAATATTCCTTAGAAAATTTCAAAGAGGCCTGCTGCTTAATTTCTAACTGAATTAATTTGACCTATTAATCTTCTAGATGTATTATAATTTATGGACAAAGTGAAGCTTTGTCAGTAATATACCTTGGGATCTTAACAATATCTTTGTTGAATATGCTATTTTGCCAACAAACCATGAGTTATTTTATGTTTAATGGATGCAAGTAATAATTGGTGTCATTATTATTTTTCTCTTCAGGTGAAGATGATGCTATTGAAAATAATTGCTCGAACTGTTGGCCTCCACCACTTGATTTTATTAAATCTTTATCCTTTTCTTCAAAAATATGTTCAGGTATTTTATGTTTCAATAGAAAGCTATCCCATTGCATATTTTTGAATTATGATGACTTCATATTATCATAAATTCATAATTATCGTTGCTTTTGCAGCCTCATCAACGAGATGTCACACATTTGCTTGCATCTGCAATTGAGGCCTGCCATGATATGGTTGTGCTTTTTTTATTTATTATATCCTTGCATTAGTCTTCAGCTCCCTGTTTAGCTTAAAGATTAGGCTTCCATCTTTCCCTTCAATTTGCCATTGCATCCTATCCATCTGGCTAATTCTTTTTTGCCCCCTAAATCAGGTTCCCCCTGATACAGTTGAACCGTTATTCAGACAGATTGTAAATCAATTTGTACATGATCGTTCTCGTACAGAGGTAATTCCTAACAGTCTGTTACCCTCATTGTTTTGCTGAATTGGCATGAGATTAACTTCTGAGATATACCTGTTCTGCTAGGCAATTGCTGTTGGATTAAATGCAGTAAGGGAGATGTGTCTGCGCATGCCTTTGGTATCGTTAACTTTATGTGAACCCTCTCTATTAGTTGAAGATGCATATTTCATATTCTAAGATCATTTGAAATTCTGTAGTTTTGGTTCATTTCTTATATATTCACTTCCCATTTCATTTTTTCTTTCCATGCCTTCTGTTCATTATTTGTAGCTTCTGTTAATATATGATCTTTGAACTCTTACTTATCTATCTTTTCCTGACAAACCAGTTGATGACAGAGGATTTGCTGCAAGACCTTGTATTATATAAGAAGTCACATGAGAAAGCTGTTTCAACTGCAGCTCGTTCTTTGATAACGTTATTTAGAGAGGTTATATAACATCCCCCTCCCCCCAACTCTCATTTTTCTCATCATCAGGTCAATAGAATTAAAACTGTCTTTAATTTGCTTACAGGTGTGTCCTTCATTGCTGGTTAAGAAGGACCGTGGGCGTCCTACTGACCCAAAAGCAAGGCCAAAGGCATTTGGTGAAGTGAATGTAGTCAGCAATGTTCCTGGCATTGAGTTACTACAGAATGATGATAATGATGATGAATCTGAATCCAGTGGCTCTGATGGTGAGGAGGCTACTGCTAGTGGTGATGAGCCAACCCCATCATTTTGTGTGGGTAATGACTCTGACAGTGAGGAGGGTTATGAGGAAATGGGGGATGAGAATGATGAACTTAAAGAAAGTAATAAAGTGGATGAAGATGAAGAGGAGTATTATGATGTTGCTTTGGATGATGAGGAGGAAGAGAATGAAGAAGAGGAATCTGGTGACTTTGACAATGATGATGACGATGAGGTGGCTGCTATTGATGTTAATTCAGTAGGGGAAAATGGTGAAGAAGAGGGGGAAGAACATATATCACGAAAGAGGAAGTTACTTGATTTAGATGGGCAACTTAATGTTGCTGATACTAGTCTTCGGGCTCTGAAGAGATTAGCTGGAGCAAAGATGGGGCGTGTTTCTTCTGACTCAACAGATGGTATTCTTTCAAATGAAGATTTCCAACGTATTAAAGAATTAAAGGTATTTTTTCATACGAAAGATTGCATCTCTCATTTCATGGCTTTTTTTTTTCAGTTTTATTTCCATTGAGCAGCAAGGAGCCATTTGCTTGTTGTAATTGTAAAATCTTGGGCTGGCAAGCATGAGAGTGCAGGTTTGAGCCTGAGAGTGTATCCGCCACCCCTCTCAATCATTGTTTTAAAATGCATGGGAGGCGTACGCCTGGAGGCGCACGCGACGCTCCCAAAACGCCCTGAGGCGTATGCCAGAGGCGCTGACACCTCTGAGGCGTACGCCTCATGTGCTTTTTTCATGAGGCGTGCTAGAGGCATACGCCTCATGTGCCTCATGCACATCTTATATAAAAAGACAGAAAAAAAAGAAAAAAGGAAAAAAAAAGGAAAGGAAAGGAAAGGGAAGGAAAAGAAAAAGAAAGAGAAGAAAAAAAGAGAAAAGAAAAGAAAAGAAAAGTAAACGGTCTGGAGGCTTACGCCTCTTGCGTTCTGAACTACGCCTCACGCCTCTGCGTTTTAAAACATTGCTCTCAATACCCCAAATAGTTCAGCCAACATTGGGTAATGTCTTTATCTGCATTGAGTAACGATTGTGTTTAATGCTGAGATTTAGGTATAGTGGAATTTGGATTTTGAGAAATGAGCCCAGAATCAGGGTTCAGCAATGCACATGATTTTAACAACTGCCCCCACCCCCCTGGATTTTTCACAGGGGATTGGGTTGCAACTTTATTTCATGATGGTTTCAACTTGATCAAAAACCCGAACTGTTGCCTATGGCCCCATCTGTCTTCACCTGCTAACCTTTTTCAAGTCACTGATCACTGACTATTGCCTATCAACCAGAAAGAAAACAATACTAAACATTATTGTTGTGCTTTAATTGTTATTGCCCTTATGCTTTATTTGGATCATATTGTGCTTCTGATTGTTATACGCATTAATATTTTGGTTGATTAGGCAAAGAAAGAAGCAAAGCTTGCTTTGACCAAGCATGGGCTGTTACCCAGTTCTGAGGAATTAAGTGTTAAGCGAGTGGACCCTGCTAAACTTGAGGTAAGTTTATCTTTTCTTTGTTGGTGCCTTATTGCCTATATTTTGCTACTGTGGCTACAGATATCCGAGTGAAAATGCCAAAAGTTAGGTCTGCACTAGTCCCGACGTCTCCCAAGACCCCCAGATATCTGGACTAACTTTGGGTAATGGCCTTTTTTAGAATACAGATATCTGTGCAAGAAGTAGAACTATGTGCCTCAAAACAGGGAGTATGAATGTAGGAAATGCTTACAAGCATGAGGAAACAGTAGAATTATCCCTTTTGCTTGAATTTTATTCTTCTTCCTCAACTCCTCCCTCTTCCCTGAAGAGAAGAAACTTCTTTTAGATAATGTGAAGTAATATTGAATGTCTGGTTCATGTTTACTGGAAATGCAAGTGCTAACAAGCTAGTGCTAATGTCTTATAGGTTAACGTACGAAAAAAGCTAAGTAAGGAGGAAAGACTTGCTTTGGTAAGAGCTGGAAGGGAGGACAGAGAGAAGTACCAAGCTCGAACTGCTGTAAAACAGAAAAAGGTCTCTTATCCTTTTATGTGCATTCTTTTCTTGCACCTTTCTTGTTATTTCCTTGTTTTCTTGTTAACCTTCTGCATTGGCTAGAATGGCAGTTTTTAGAAACAAGCATTCTTCCTTTTTTATGAATAGCTCTGGGTTCAGCCTGATCAAGATGCGCCAAAATCTATGCTGGAAGATAACTTATGGGCTATTCTTAGAATTATGTTCCTTAAAATTTTGTAAAACTAACATGCTTCAATCATGGCGCAGTACTTGATCAGTTATTAGTATTACTGAAATACAATTCAGTGAAAGAGTCAAGACATTCGACGTTGGACAAATAGCAATCAGATTTTGAGCATTCTTTCTTGACATGTTCTCCCTACTATAGCTTAAAACTAACAGTGTAAGATGTTTCCATTTTCAATTTTCTTCTAATCTTCTGATCAAGTGTGGTTTGATCATGAATAACAGACTGGTGGTTTGAGCAATCGGCAGAAGGAGCACAAGAAGGCAATGCCTCTAGCTGCAAAGAGAGCCAAGGTTGCACGATCTCGGCTTGAGAAAAATAAACAGAAGCGGACCTCTGGCAAGCAGTTCCGGGGAAGGAAAGGCTGGAAGTGATTTTAGTTCTATCATTCTGTAACAATATATAGCCAATTTTGTTTATGATTTGATTAAAACACTAAGATTAGCAATAATTGAGATTGCAACGCTGATAAAGAGGGCATGGTCTTTCTTTTACCCCATGTTTTCTATTTATTAATTGAATCTTAGTGAAAAAAGGAATCTTGGTGCTCTCTATGTCGGTGCTTTATACAACTACTCAATTAGCTTGATATCAGTGATGGAAAAGGTGGGAGATATCATTATTCATTAGCTATGTTCTAGTTAATTTTGTATATTTTCTCTGATCATCGTATTTAGACAGAGGTACATTTTCAGCCTCTAGGTTCGAGTCTCTGGTCTCAGTAAAGAGATGTAATGCCTCGGGAACTAATGCTCTACATGAGTGTAGCATGATTACGCCTTGTGGTACCACATACCACTGTAATAAAAGTTCCATTTTTTACACAGTGAGACCAACTGGTCTGTTGACCCGGAAAAGGTCCTACCCTTATTGCTTGGAGAAAGAGCCTGCGGAGATTCATTGTTTTGGGTTGAATTAGAAATTTAGAATACGACAACTCTCTGTTGATCACTATCTGCTTTGGCCCTTCAAGACCCCAGCATGATATCTGATTGACATTATTATGTTTTGGAAGGGGTCACAGGCTCACAGCGCACAAGTGCTTTAACTTTTTTTTCACGCTCTCGCTCTCTCTGGAGGTGGGGGGGATTATTCTTTGAGAAGACGTATGGTACTGCAACGAGATTCATCATTTCCTATGATTTTTTTTTCGTCTCGTTGGCATGCATTCGAAGTTAAGACATCTTAATTTATTCAGTTACGTGTTTAGGTCAAGGACCAAAGAATCTCCTGCCGGTGTTTTAAAACTGAATCACGGCCCTTGCTGTAGACCGACCTTAAGTTGGATGAAGTGACATCGTGGGCCTACAGCAGTGTATAAAAGGCCGTGATTTCACGGTTTTAACTCGAGTTCAGATATACACCCCATAAGGGAGTGTTCCACAACGTCCCACAGCACATTACTTCCGTGTATTAAGAATATCTCCCGATGATTTCTCCAACGAGAGTAAGCTGATTTCTCCTTGGGGATGACAAATGAAATAATTTCATTCAGACGGCTGCAGTATAAAATCTGACTACGTGACAACTTGGAAGAATTTTAACGTATTTAACATTTTGTCCTACTCGGTTAGGGGTTTGATGCATTGGACTCGTTTCATTTGATGGAAAGATTACCAAGTGTGACGGCAAAAAAAAAAAAAAGGCCTTGCCTTACTGATTTTTTATTCACACAACGGGCCTGGGCCGCCAGGCTCAACATTATTTACAAGAACGTCCTGTTAAAAGTTCAGAACGTACAACATAGTTTTCATTCCGAATCATCTCAGACATGAGACACCACCTACCTCTTGTTATACAGCTTCTAAAGCGACCCTAACCTACTTTTCGGAGAGAGACTTTTTCCCATTTACTTTCAAACACGTAGAAAAGGAGTCTACAAACGTGATATTGATGGATGAAATCAGTCAAAGGAACACATTTATGAAAAAAATTCCTCTTTTTAAGATAAGGAATTTTGAATAAAAATGATATCATCATAGTGGCTCATCGAAATGTTGTAAAGCCTCTGGTTCCCTTAGCATCCGTGGTCTCTCGTCTCTTATTCTCTCCTCCTCTTGGCCAAGTACAACGAAGACATAGCTTTGGCAGACATCACTCGCCTCACAAGAAGTCTCCACCTTGCATCGTCCCCTTTCTTATCAAGTTGCGCTCTCAATTTGAATTGCCTGTCATATATCCAAGCATAAACAAAAATATCAATGAATAGCACCATGAAATTAAACAGAAAGGCAAAAAAGATGAATTAATTGTTTATTCTCCTGTAATTAATTCAACACCCTAAAAATTTAATAATGGCGTTAGAAGAGGTGATGCTAAGGAACAGCTAATGTCAACATTTTACAAGGCATCCAACGATGGAATAACCTTCCCAGCCCTCCCTGGGGGACGGACATTATCCGCCCGTCTGTAATGTTCACCGGCGATGGTCCACCAGTCTATGGAGAAACGTTGGCTACAAGTATATCGTGATCGTCCAGCTGGCAACCCTTAAACCAAATTACACGACAATGGATGAATTCAATTCAACATCCTAGCGGATTCCAGTTCTACGTAGTCTATTACATACAACGTGGCATGCAGCAGATTCCGAATGGGACGAGTTCCGATTGGCTCCCCACGCAGCGCGCTCCACACGTGGAACCTTCACCATAACAAACCGTAAACCTATATAAACCATCTGATGATGTCATCATCACTTCTCATACTATCATCGAGAGATATTTCCGATACACGGCGGGGATGTGCTGTGGGGCGCGGCTGCGTGGGGAGTCGTTGAAAGAGAATCATGCGACTGGAATCACCCAAGTACGAGGAAGCGGCAAGACGAAGACATGTCGACGATCTTTTGCTTGCTTAGGTCGGTTTAATGCTCTATTAAATTAAGTGGTGGAATGAAGAAAATGGAATCAAGATTCAAGGCCGCTATGTCAAAATAACAATAATAATAAAAAGAAAATGAAAACCATTGGGTGTTGCGTGTTGGGTCTCCCCCGCTCTTATTAGTCTCTATCATACAAATCACTAAGTACCTGCACATAGGAACTCTGCAACAATCGGTTTGGTCACACATGGAAGAGTGAAGCCGGAGAAGTTGCCACATCTGCTTGCAGCGGCAGCAACCTCCGTTCACCCTCTTGTTACACCCAGCGAAATGTCGAATCAAGAGCTGTACACCGTGGCAAGTGCTGAACTTGCTGCAGGGTTCCCTGTTCTTCGTGGGCTCCTTATCGTATGGCCCAACACTCGTGCAGCCTTCCGTACATATGTGTTCCAAGCACTCCATCGCTTCGCTTAGCTGCACATATAGATTCTGCTCCTCCCTCTTCTTACTCCGCCGCTTCCGCCTCTGTTGTCACATTATAGTATATACGCGTTAATAATTTCAGTTTATATATGTAGATCGCAATGCAAAAGATGGAGAAAGAGAAAAAATGTTAAATAAAATAAATGTTTTTAAGTTACGGACCGATTCGGTTTCATCAAGGAACTGTAGGATCTCGAGTTCCAGCCAAGGATCGTGATTTTGCAGGAATTTCCATCCTTCTGTGTTCTCCACGGCTTTGAACTCGTTGGACACCAACTTCATGCACTTGAGGTAAAGATCCGGAGCATCACACATTCTCGCGAGTTTGAGCACGTCCACCACGTTCTCCACAGTCAACCGTCCACTCAACGCTCTCGTGCATCTCTGTTTCAGCTGGGGTACCGAGAACACGTGCGACAATGCCAATAGATGGATCCCGTAGTTGTCCATTTCTTCCTCGGTGCATCTGGTATTAGGGAAAATTTTCGTTATTTCACGCTCCACATCTAAAACTGATGCAATTTCTACGCGACCGGAATCCTTGATCTCTCTTCCCTTCCGGGACAAAGAGAGGTACCGGAATCCCTGAACGGAGGCAGCAGTTTTTCGTCCTCTTCTCCATCTTTTCTTGACAAACAAGTCAAAGAAACCTGAGCTGCGCCAAACCAGATCCAAAGATCTTGGCCAGTGATCATGTAAACTGCAGGATATACATCCAGGATCAAGTGGCCAATGTAATCCGGTTGCTCATGTGAAGAAAAAACGCCCGGCGCATTTCAGATTCGATGATACCTTAACTTTAGTTGAGGGAGGAACTAACCTTAATGAATACAGAAACCGAACAAACGCGACCACGGAATCACAGGGAACGCCGAGAATAGGAATTATGTTCTCAGAAGTCGAACGCTTTCGAGGTCGATCTAAGATGTTCTCCAACACAGGTGAAACCGAAGCCTTCGATTTTCCAGGAAGGAAAAAAGAAAATATCAGATCTCCGAAATTGAGAAATGGCTCGGGAGCAACAGAAAGCTAAAAGTCACGAAGCACAAAAGAAAAATCTTTTATATAAAATGAATCAATTGAAAATATTGATCGAAGAAAACAGAGCATATGATCATCTTGAAATAAGAGCGTTAAATCTCTAGGAAGAAATTAAGCCAACTGGAATCGGAACGAAGCAGTATTGATCGGGTACCAGAATGCTAGAATGCGCCGGGATGCTTAAGCCGCCGGAAGTTCGGATTTGGACGTCAGGTAAGGGAGCGCCGACAGAAGTCTGATGAGTGAAGTCGGAAAGGCAACGGAAAGCCGGGAAGTTGATCGGAGAAACGGTCATAGTTTGCATATTGCTTGTATTGGAGCGAGCGAGAGAATACTTTTTGTTTGAGTAGTTCAGCCGGCGCGAGCATGTCTCCCGATTTATAGGCAAAGAGGCCCAATAGAAATAGAGCCATTAAAAAAAGGGTTTCTAGAGCAAAGCGTGTTTGTTTGGTTTCCATTTATGCCCTTGAGGAGTGGTTAATAGCTCTCTACTGGCTATTACGTATTAGAATTTGGATGGCGCGGGATAAAACCACCACGCCTCGTCAGCAACGAGTAAGGTCGATTTAAAATACAAACGGGTTTTGGTGAACACAGGCGCTTCCTATGTCCTTCTGACGTGGAAAGGTGGAACTCATACCAATCCATAATATCAGTCTAGGGTTTGGTCGATTTATTGATTGAATGAATTTCTATTTCTATTAAACTTTGAATTGAGCCGAGCCTTAATCCAAGCCTCGTATAGTTTAAATTCTACGTACGGTTTGGAATTTCTCACTACATTACTTGTATGCCTGTTCACTTTTGCAGATGGAGATGGACTAATTGAGTCTACCTTTACAAGTTACAAACCAAAAGTAGTAACATGAAATTGAAAAGCCAACACTGAAAACTACCCTCCCCAAACGGGAGAATTAATTAATATAGTTTGTCCTAAAATTGAAGGAGAACTGGAGAAGAATACAAGAACGTAAACCCCAACGTAGAGGTAGGTAGGTAGGAAAGGAAGGAGAGCAGGAGCAGGAGCAGTAGTAGTCAGGTCAGAAGGTCTAAGCATCGTGACACTTTCCTACCAACTTCCTGCGGGTTGCATTTGCATGTATTTTGGCTTGGACTCACTGGAACCACGTTTTTAATATAATACATTTTTACTAGCTGGGCCCAGATCCAATTGGTCATGGGCCCAGTGGGATATAAAAGGAGATCATTGGGCTACCTACAAAGTACAAACACATTCTTATTATGTTTTAAATTAAGTTGCATGTGAGGCCCCAGCTCTCGACTGTGGAGTAGTCAAAGATGATTGGATGGATCTGCCTGCCTCATAATTCAAACCCTCCCCTCCTGGTCGTTACTTTGTGACTTTTGTTGTTTGGATTATTAGTTTATTACTAGCCCCCATCAACCGCATCGCATGCAATCACCACCAAAGTGCTTTCTTCGACTGAAGAAAAAGCGCAGTAGTAATTCCAAGATTCGATTCGAATTTCTTCGATCAAATACACTAATAGAAAAAGAAAAGAAAGAAGCTCGTGCCTCGTGGATCGACTATATTCCCTTAAGAGGCGAAGAACCTACTACCTGCAGCTACAAAGCTACAATTTTACAAGAGCTGCGCTCGTCATGTACTCAACTAGTTTTACTTTTCCACTGAAAGTGAAATTCACAGCACAACACCCAATTCTATCAGAAAGACTGAGAGAGAGTGAGAGTAGGAGTAGGGCCGTAGGGCCGTAGGGAAGGGGAGTGATCTCATGTCGTTGATGTCTTCCCTTTCTTTGCTTGTTGGGGCGCATGTTCTGTAGAGGTAGAGAGCCTTATCCTAATAAGGCGGTCGGTCGGTTCTACCCTCTTCGCGGAATGGCCGAAGACCCTCTTTTTTAGATAGGGTGGCGGATTGGCGGAGGGGCTGCTGCTTCTTGTGTTTATTCTTGTCGGTGAAAAAGAAAAAGGAATCAAAGAAACCCCCCCCAGGACCAAGGCACAAGAAGAAAGAAAACAAAAAAAAAGTTTAAAAGCAAAATGAAATGTGCTTTTCTTTCCTTGTGTGAGTTTTGAGGACATGGAGCCCAACCTAAATTCATGCACGCGCTCCATAAACTGCAGTATTTAATTTCCCTCTCTCTCTCTCTCTCTCTCTCTCTCTACTACCTACCCTTTACAAACAGAATTAAGTCATTAACAGATACCAACCTGCAGCCAGAGGGACAAAAACGAAAAAGTGGATGGACACACAGAATTTTCTTACTACTTTTCTTCCTCGGGGGGAAGGCGGCAGCGATATGTTCTGTCCAAACTCCAAACTCCAAACTCCAAACTGGGTGTTGAAAATTGAAAAGCTTACCAACCCAGAGCAACTTCAGGAGTCAGGACCGACCCAGCTCTATTCGTCATACACCCTCTTTGCTTGAAAGTTGAAACTCGGGGAACAGAGCAGGGAGAGCATAGCCTACCACATACTCACCATGAATAGCCATCTATCTCGTCTCGTGCGTAAGTTGTTAACAAGAAAGGATCAACCACTGCCTTGTGCCGCAACAGAATCATGGTTGTAAATTTCAATATGGAGCAACCGAATTAAGCTTTGAGTCAGCCCAGCAGTTCATTGATTCCAATATATGTGTCATGACTTAAGAGATAGATACGGTAGTTTCTATCGGGCACAGAGCGTAGGTTGCTCAGATAGATATGCAAGTTTAACAATGAGACGATGGATGAATATATCATATATGCAGCGGTGACCAGAACAGAAACTAAACTAAATTCCATTTATAGATGGCAAACTAACTAATTAAATGATCAAATCAACCTTTCACCTTTATTATACATAATATCTTCCTAACTATTGAGGGAGAGAGAGAGACGGGCGCTTCTCATTCCTCCAGTCATGTATAGTTCATGGATCCAACTTGTTATGTACAGGTCGACGTCGCCGGACCGGGGAATAATCTGCAGACCACCACCAAGGCGCAGCTACTTTGGCATGCAGATGTCTTCTTCCCATTGCATGGTGCTGATCCAGTGACTCCCTCCCTGCTTCTGCAAAAGGGTTGTTACTCGTTGACACTGCACTAGTAAGTTATTAAAACAAAACCAGTGAAAATTTCCTACCTGAGAAACGTGGTTTGGCAAATGTCTGTTTTATTGGGGTAAGCAAGGCCAGACAAATAACAATCTTAATGACCATCACCAGCTCCATGAATGTTTTATTTAGAACAAACTAAGCTCTTACACTCCCTCCACTCCAAACAACTCGAATATATATAACCGTGTCAGTACTGATCCCTTCAAGGATATAATAATCCATGACGGTCCCATACAAATATATAAATTATTTGATAGAATATTAGGATGCCCGATGTGTTCTAGGTGAATGTGGATCTTGCTAGCTGATATCTCAAAGTTTTCAAAAGAAGGAATCTCATGGGATTTTGTGCTTAACATGCTGCTGCTGGGGCCTGGGGGGGTTTCTTTTTGTTCTTTCTCCATCCCCAACCCCAAAGCATCCATCCATTCATATCTCTTTCTTCTTTCTTCTTTTATCTATTTATTTATTACTTGTTAGAGGAACCCTACTTGACTCCGAAGATAAAACAAGGTTATTGGTCCTGCAGTTGTAGATTTGATTCCTCAAGATTAGTCCTGTAGTTTTTTTTTTTTTTTTTGAGTGAAGTACCAGCCGGGTACAAGAGAGATAAATGTTTTAATAAGATGATAGAGGTAGAGCCGGCCGCAAATGGTTCATTTCGGGCTAATGATGTTCTTGATTCTTGAGCCATTGCCATGTAGGAATGATTACAAGGGCCGATATCTCGGTCTATAGTCTATACTAATTACTAAATACTAATGGCCTAACCCAGGTTTTCCCTAAGAAAAACTCTTCAACATTATCACAAACAAAAATGGATGCATGTACTCTGATTATCCTGTGAAATTTGGGAGGGCTTAGTTGTATATGTAGTGAAGCTATTGGAAGAGGTTTGCTTGTCTGGAGTACGCATGAGGCATGACTAATCAGCAATTTGGCTCTTCGGGGTTTTTCACCAAAAAGGCAACTGCATGAAAGCCCTCCCAAATGGGCCCTGATTTCGTTTGGTTCTTCTACTGATTTTTAATAGAATTGAAGTTGAATTCCTTTAACACAATTGGCGAGTTTACCTAGTTCTTGTCTCTTTCATACTTCCATTTGAATGTACAACCAAGGAACTAGGAAGGTTCGCGGTCCAGAGAACTCGTAGATGACTTGCAACCGTGGTTGTAAAACTCCCTTACGGGCCTCCAATGAAATACAGACACACCAGCTATGGGAATAGAAAGTGGAATTTCTTTCCACCACTCGCGAATTTGTGTGTATGTTTTTTTTATGGATTCACGAATTTGTGTTTCCACAGTGTTGCAACCAATCGTCCCAACTCACAAGATATGTGAACTCACTTCTGATGGGACTTGAGCATTCAGTTCAGTTGAAAGCATTGATTGGGCATGGGTCAGAATAGTGTGGTACCCCTAATCCGATCCCAATCACTAAAAGGGTGAGACAGGCCGGATTAGATCGGGTTGATGTCAAGTCTAACCCAACCTGAGCTGTGGAACAGTGGAACCAATCCTACCCCTGGGCTCCATCAGATTGGGTTTGGGTTGACCCCAACTTCCCTACTTCCTTTTGCAACCTTAATTGTTTACCGCACAAATTGTGCACGAGGGCTTATTAATCCACATTCACGTCATAGCAGCTTGGACAGATACATTGGAAGGAAATCACGTGTAAACTGTTTATCTTAATTACTTTAGTATTAAAAAAAAGGCATTTTTCAATTTTGATAGCCAGGAGTATACATTGCTCCCAAACCTGGGGAAAAATCAAAATTGATACCACGTATATATATTATAGAATAAATTAACTAGCTAGGAAAAATCAACTAGGATCATAGATACATATATAGGAACCTAATGGAAAACATGAACTTTGACAACAATCAATGTGTCCTCCTCTTACTTTTCCTCTGCACATGGAGAAGCTGCATTGCTACACTGTCCAAAAATATCTGGAATCTCATCCCATTTCCTCTTCTCCCTGGCTTCCCAATACCCACCTATGTAACGGTAACAGCCATCCTCGTCCTTTCTGAACCATCTTGGTTGCCAACCTCTCTCCTGCAACTTCCTTGCCTGTTTCACAAATGACACATGATTTTGTTCAAATTACACTTTAGCTGAGAAGGCACAACCCAAAAAGGAATATGGAAAAGTTTTAAATGATAAGATGATGATTTTGTGTTCTTCCACTAATAACTAAACTGAACAATAGTTTGTTCAGGAACCCCAGTCCGTGGGTAATATTATTGGAGCATAGATAGAAAAGTAGTTAGTAACCCTGTGCTTCACCTCATTTATTTCTTCCTTTATTTCTAATGCAATCTCCATACAGGAAATGGATGAAAAAAAAAGGTCATACTCATTGTTGGTCCCAGCTCTCTGGGGTCTTGGGAGGAGTTGAAGCATTTGATATCATTGACATGGAAAATCAGAGCATTGGTATGTTTGAAACATTTAAAAAAAAAGGAAGAAAGAAATTACAGTAGAAACTGACCTTGAATTACTTCATCCAACAAAAGATGGATCTGTTAAGTTTTTCCCTTTTTCCCCAAGGTCTTTACATTAGAGTAGTTTTTAAGAGTGATCACATTTCAAATTAGTGAAACAGGGAAAACCTAAAAACCAGGGTCAGTTTTGGAAATCACTGTTGCAGTTAATGGCACAAGCATTCAAGAAAAGCCTTGCAATCAATGTTCAGAGAACTGGACTGGGCATAGAACCAGAGAAGGGAGAGGTTCACAGGTCAGAGGTTCGACCGGGGTCAAACCGTGATGATGTGGCATATACATGTATATACTACGGGTCATATAAATACTATATAAATATGCTTTACAACTTTTAATGTACTAAAATATGGTGGATGGATGGTAAGCTTCTTAATTTTTAAAACAAATGACTAGGGTTCAAGCCTTTTAACTTACATTTTCTTTAAAATACGTGCATAATAATGTAATATGTATAATATTTATCAAAAAAAAATGTAATATGTATAATAAAGTCATTAATTAGCATAAGTAAAGAGGTGGATTAGTGGTAATTAAGTAATCTATGAAAATAAGAGGTCTTGAGTTCGAATCTTGTTAACAACATTTTAAAATTTCACTTATGTATGGACCCGAGATGTTTCATGAAACCGGAACTGGTTTTCTGGTTCAACCGGCCTTTCAGCCGGTTTTCAGCGGGTTTTGAGCAAGTCCAGTTATTGGGGTATGACCAAACTGATCAAGGCCCCGTGTCCGGTTTTCTGAACACTGCTTGTAATGCTGTGCTCTCAATTGTCTAAAAAAGATGTAAATTTCTGTTTATATTAATAAAATTGTCTTTTCTTTGTTGCTGATCCAAAAAAGAAAGAAAGAAAAGCCTCCACAAGTGATGCAAACTCAGAGAATGTTAAGGAACAGAAGCATCCATTGGAGTCTACCTGTCTTTGTAGCTGTTCAAGTCTGAGCTTCTCTGCATTTGCCAGTTCATATTCCCCGTTTTCCAAAAGCCTTTGATCTGGCCTGAGTCTGGAATCAGTTGGAGGCAGCTTCTCCAGTAGGCCAGTTGTCAATTCATTCAAAGTAATTGCAAAAGGTGTGAGGTTGTATCGAGTTTGAGTAACTGATTTGTCTCGTTCCCATAACAACACAGCTTCTGACATGGGATCATACCCTTTTGGCTTTGTAGTAGGATCTCCCAGCACATAATACATTGCCTCATCCCATTTTCCAACCAACATTGCGACCTTGTTTCCAGTTCTATTATCCTGCACAAATCCTTGCACCTGCATGTGTATGTAAAAATCCCATCATTGATTTTTCTATTTGTCAGGCCAATAATGTCACATCCCTTTTTGTTCACATATAAAGCAAGATAAGAGGAAAAAAACAGAAATAGCAGAACACCAAAAATTGTTTTCAGTCAACACTTTATGATCCTGAGAAAAAGAGGCTATATGTTTGCCCTCTCCTAATTTCACTTAAGAATACTCAAATACCTGGTGTGGATTTCGGTCGATTATGGACTGCTCTTTGAACTTGAGCTTGCAGGAGTAATTTCCACTACCCTTGATGCGCATGGTGCCATAATGATCACAGTAGATTTTACCCAGTATGATGTTGTAGATAGAAGTGGTGACTTTGCTCCATTGGAATGTCTCTCCATCTTCAAACTGAAGGGTCAGAACTCCAACAGGATCAAGCTGGATAGAGCGCCCCCAAAACTTGCCTTTGAGATTAGAATCTGCCCAAAATTTCCAGCCTCTCCCATCACAATGACAAGCAACAATCATTGGGTGGTGACTCACCTGAACCAAAGCCACATGTTAAGACTAGACATTTCCTGGAAAAAATTGCACTCTGCCAAATTGTAGAATTGCATGTTTTGTTGAAAGATGGTCTAACTTTTTACTTCTGAGGGAAGAAATGAAGAGGAAGTAAAATAGAAGAAACCAAGAGTCGAGAGAAATGATGAGTTCCATCTTGATCTTTCTATATTATACGTCATAAAGTACCCCATAGTTTAGTTGGTCAGTCAACATCCCTTGCTTTGAGGCAGAGCATGGGTTCAAACCCATGGAATGGTAGGCTCTCCATGTTACTCTAGTGGTCCTCGCATGCACCCAGCTAAGCTAACCCTACTAACCTTCTAACTAGATCTAGCTTATTCCCCACCCCTATGAGGTTAAACCCACATTCCACAACCAAATTATAAAAAGGAAGACATATATGATGGCTCACAAGGGAGAAATTCACAGACATTAACAAAATGTTTTGAAAAGTGCAGGTATAACCTTTTCAGAGAAGAAACGGAGACCTTTGTCTGGATAGTCAGCCTCATATGTTTCCCCTAGTAGAGGATTGAAAGGCTTGCACTGCCGACCTTCTGTTGAAGCATATCCAGATACAGCAAAGGCTGCAATATTTAAAATTCTCATCAAGCTGTTCCCCTGCACCATGATGTTTGAACATAATCAGTGGACTCTAATTCAACCTTTCTCAAACACCAATTCTATTAAGTTGCTGCCATCAATTGAATGGATGGTCCAAAGCAGGGTTTGAGAGGGAAAAAATAGAACAAGATTTTTGCATGTGGCCAAATGATAGAAGAATTGATCACACTTAAACATTATTCATTGACTAAACCACTCTACTGATCTTCAAGCATTTTCAGGTTTTTAAACTATAACTGAAAACATGGCAATAAAATCTGTATCAGCAAATGGTACACTGACAAACAAAAGATTAGATCTAGCTCAAACAGGAAAAAGAAAAACACAATTATAATTGATCTAAAGTTTAACTTTCATTTCTGGAGTGACAAGCTGATATTGAATATCTGCTGAGTACTGCAGAGTGCAATCTTTTAGAAACTAGCATAATAAAATTTATGGAACCAGAAGTTCTCACCACATTAGTGTCTTCACAATAATGCTGCAATCATGCTTGGGTGAGGTCCAAAAATGGCAATTCAGGATACATTAGTACGATGACATTGTCCTGTCCACATAAAGGAAACCACAACCCCCATCATATGAATGCACCGACTAAACTAAGGGACTAGTACCCAGCACAGTTTGTTTGACATTGGAAAGGCACTGTTGGGCTTAACCTACCAATGGTCATCAATGACGTAACAGCTTTGGAGAAGCACAAAAGAAGTAGGTTCCGCAGGGAAAAGGGAGGAAGTGGGTTGAGGAAAAGATGGTGGACATCCACGTGATCGGTGGGCCAGAGAACATGTATATGGCACCTTCTGTAGTTCTTATGCATCCTCCTTTTCTACTAGTGCAAGGCCTGAGCCCCTGTTGGCTCAGCTTAAATTCCAGGCAGGTTGGGCAAATTGTCACCCGAATAGATTGAACCCAACTTCATTTTCTTCACCCAAATTTCAATTTATGCTGGGTATTACTCAACCACTTCCAAACCAAAAGAAGCCCAGTTCACACTCTCACAAATACATTGGATCAAAATTATAGTTCTCAAGGCAATGCCTAGGCAAATATGTGCATATTGGGGCTCGCCTAGTCCAAATGCCAAGCTTTTTTACATTAGGCTTTATAATATTTTTATACTTTTATTTTCTGGGTTTAAAATATTAAAATATCCAGTGATACACCATATCCTTCCATTACAATCTATTAAAAAAACCATATTATTCTATTTATGACTTCATAAACCAATAGTTTTTTTCTCATTTTCTAGGGTTCGATTGGCATACAAGTTTGAAGGACTCAAAGACTTAAAGCAATCAGAGATTGAACTTGAAGACCTTAACTTGTAAACAAGGAAGACCAACTGAAATAGAGGCTCAACCCTATTTGCTAATGTTGTTCATTCATTCATCCTAATAAAAGATATTTTTTAAAAGATAATTAAAATTATACAATCATTTTTTAGAGATTAAGAATTAAGACCCTAAGATGGACTTGTTTGGGCTTGCCTCAAGGGGCAGGGTGCAAAAGTGGCTTGTAGAATTAGAATGAAAGATGTAACATCACATTAACTATTTGAAATGATGCAATTGAGAAAGAAATAAAGAAATTAAAAGTTTGGCATGCTTGAATATGGTTTGTATGCTATTTTTATAAATTTGAGTATCTAAATTTGAGTTTGGCATGTTTATGTATCTAAATTTGAGTTATAAGCTTTTTTTTCAATATTTAGTTTAAAATTAATTTAAATACTACTTTCAATATTTTCTTAATTTATTTTGAATTTTTGAATTTTTTTTGCAATTTTTATTTCTTTTTTTTTAATTTGTGCCTTACTTCAAAAATGCTTGCGGCTTGCCTTGTGCCTTGGGCACAAAATGGCCTTTGTGCTTCTAAAAGACTGGCCCCCTCCCCCAAGTCATCACTTAGGCAACACCTACGTGATTAAGTGTTCCCCTCTCGCCTAAGCTTCACCTTTGCACCTTCACAACTATGATAAAATCACCTACCAAAAGAGCATTGCCTACAAACCTGCAAAATTCTTTTTCACTGTAGTGGGTGGGGATTGGGGGGAAGGATTTACTCCCCTCCATCTACAAATCGTTCCTCCTTTTCATCTTTCTTTCAACATGAGAAAAGAGAAACCACTTAACTGCATTCATCTCCCAAGCCAACATTCAAAAAAATTTGCACAAGAGATATTTTTTCCAAGAAAGCAAAACTGCACCAAAATGTTGTCAACCCTGAAATAAAAGGGGAGAGCCGTGAGGATTGTAGGCATAATAATAGCCAAAAGGAATAGAGGCAATGCTTTTAAGTTCCAGGAGTGCTGCTAGAGATGAAAGGTTTGTCTATAAAACACCCTAACTAGATCCAATTGATCCCTGCTGAGATTCCAATCTAAGGATGTACTTCAAATGTTTTCCAATATGTCCAACTTTCAATGATCTGAAGCTCAGGCACCAGGGCTCTGATTGCATCAGGGTCAGTACCCAACACCATAATGCACTTGGACAAACCCGAAAAACTCACACTCAGACTTCAATAGATTAGTGGCAAGCTTTGATAGTTAGAGTTATGACCTATCCTTGGATTGAGAATGAAGCCCCCCCCCCGGCTAACTGCAAGGTTGGTGGAGGGACTATCCATGGAAAGTCCTTCCCGTCCACATTGCCTAGCCTTAGCACCTCCAAGCCCAGGGGTATTGTACTTAGGATTCAGACAACCCCGAAAGCACACAGATAGAATTCAATAGATTAGTGGCAGTGCGAAGTCTTTGATAATTATGACCTATCCTTGGATTGAGAATGAAGCCTCCCAACCCCTTGCTAGCTGCAGGGTTGGTGGAGGGACCCATGGATAGACCTATCCATCTAGTCACCTAGGCTTAGCAACCCCAAGGCCTCAGATGGTGTATATTTCATCACTTTGCATATGAGTGATATGTGCATTATATCATAATGGAGATATATATTCAGTCAAAGAAATGGGCATTTATTGGTTATAAAATTTCTAATGCCTTTCCAACAATGTTCCGGGCCAATCCTCACAAAAATCAGAAATAAAATGTTTTAGATATGGATTGCAGATCCTCCCTAAGAACCTATCTACTAGAATTTCCATTTGAATTCAACAGTTGAATTTTACATGTTCCTCAATTGTATAACATAAACAAGAGGCCATATAAATTATGGAGCAAACAAAAAGGAAACAATTCATCAAGCTCAGAGTATAACCCTATGTTTTTGGACAAGGTAGACAAGTGAATGGAAAACTGACATGAATGATGAAGAATATTTTTGACAGAACTTATATACTTAATACTAAGACCACATTACCGGCTACTTGGGTTAAAATGAAACAAGAACATGCGCTTAAGAAACTGCTGCCACAAATGAAAGAACAGTTGAGGACCTGACCTGTTTGCCCCACTCCAGTGCTCGATCAACCAAGTATGAATACTCCAGATCTTCAAAGCATTTTTGCAATGAAGAAAGTGGCTCATTGAAGTAAACAGGGAGACAAACACCAGATAGGTCTTTTCCAATATTTTCTTTAATTATTGACCATAGGCCAACTGGTTTCTCTTTTTCCTTGGGTTCAGGTAATCTGTCCCTTCTTTTGACATAGGGGTATTCAATGGCCTTGATCTCCATATCATCATCATGCATACGATCATAAAACAAAGAGTTTCTATCGTATGCTGAGGCACTACAGGCTTTTCCCAAGGAATCCCTACTGCGGTAGGAAGCACTTCTTAGAGACTCTGAAGACAAAAAATCAGTTGTATCAAAAAATATTCCATCATCCTCATCGGTTTCAACATCCACTCCATCTTGACTTTCATTATCTGCATCAGAATCACTTGCGCTGCCTTCAGACATGATTGAATAGAAATCTGAGACATTAGAAGAAAAGAAGAAATCCATAAGATTTTTAGAAATTATATATAGAGTGGTTTACATGTTATTTTAATTATCCAAAAGATAGCAAGTTGTTTTTACAGTATAACAGATTGGTTTCAAAAAAGAATGCAGAACACCCTAGACGAAATTGCATCCAACTAGTTAAAACGATTTCATCATAAAGAAAATAAGAACACTTCATCATTATGCCAATACAAATAGAAGTGGCAATTTTTTACCCAACCTACTCGACCCACCTATTTAAACTCTCCAAACCCACTTATCTTATCTACTTGGCGGTTTGTTATGGGTTGATAATCCATTTGGATCAGGCTTAGGTGGGTGGGTTGGGTTGGGTATTGGTGTTGGGTACCTTGACCCCCTTGGTTAGCTGTGGAGTCACATGTAACCCGATATGCCAGCCACTCACATGGAACTGCAAGTGAATAAATAATTGAAAGGAAAAAAATATAATGACTAAGTGAATGATTAAATTGATGAGAATGCCCTCCACCTCTTTGCCATGGAAGCAGTGAAAAATTTAATTGTTTTGCCATGAGAAAGTCCTCCTTTGGATTTTATTTACATCTTTTAAAAATAGTTTTTATTTGTTTCCCCAAATACATTTGTTCCCTGTTTTGCGTGTGACATTGTGACTGATAATTCTCAACATGGAGCAATGGAGTTCCTCTTGCCTTTCCAGGGTATTGTACCACATAATCTAAATGTGTAATATGTTCATGAATCCTGACTAGCCATTATCTCAGTCCTGTGAAACTTTCATCCTGAACTGTTCAACACAGAAAATTAAATGGATGTTCCAGATTGATTTAAACCATGCATCAGCTGTCCTAAATGCAATCCCAAGTTGCACATGCATGCATTTGTTGCTTTCCACAAATGTTGACTCATCTAATTTGTGCTTCTACAGTGCTACCAATAAAAGGTGCTTTTCAAATATAGAACATTGCACCGATCCTGCACACAAGAGGTTCCAGATACGTGGTGTTAGGCATTACTTGTACAGTTGATCGACAGTGATTACTTAAACCTTAAGATGAGATGGCCACTTGGCATCCCTCCAAATATGGAGGTGTAAAATCAAACCCGTTTAACTGCAGGTCTCCAAGGTTCCTGCCTCTTACATATCAAATCCAAACTTTTCAAGTGTCGCCCTTTGATAATGGATGACCTAAAGTTAAAAAACCACCTAAACCCAGCAACCACACAAATGCTTTGACCCTGGAAGAACAGGATTTCCATCTCTACTTCTTTCAACCAGATTGCATCATCTACATCATAATTTACAATCAATCTTTTAATGCTCCAACCTGTGAAGCAGAAATATAAATTTCCCCAACTCTCCATCAAAGGACAGCTAAAAACAGGACATCATACAACATTATCTCTCCTTTCAAGACATTAACTGCTTGTATCATTAGCATTCAATTTATAGTATCAGTCATAAATCACATTATCTACCTTCTCCATGCCATTCAACTTCCCCAAGTCTCACCCTATAACCATCCCCAACAAGAAATTTCATATAGCCTGCAAATTCAAGTATTTGAAGTTGGACATAAAAAATGTTAGATGCTAATGACATTGAATGTCCATGGCCAATTGAAAGCTACTTGACCCTGTGTGGTATCTACAGTGAAAGTGGCAAAATAAATGCTCAATGATTGAATGTGGATCTTCATTCCATATTTTGCTGTAACTTTTGTCCTAAGTTTGTGTAGACTTGTTGCAAAAAATTGCACTAATTCCCTCCCCACTCCCTGATATCCCTTAATATCTTTCCCTTTCTTGGTTGGTATGAAACAAAAAGAGATTTATCAATAAAGGAACCCACTAGTTACACAATCAAAAAAATAGGATGGGCATGACCATGACCATACAACATCCCCACCCCCATTGGTGGGGTGGACAACTAACAAGGTTAATGATCAAAATAGAAACAACAAAAGCAAAAAACTATCCTGGAGGGACCAACCCCCCCCCCCCAACACTGGTAGGTTGATCGGGGTATTAGGATGGATAACTAACAAGGTTAATAATCAAAATAGAAACCATTAAAGAAAAAAATTGTCCTGAGGACCAACACCCCCCCCCCCCAGAAAAACATTTCTGTTTTTTGTCATTTTCATGTTACAGAAACTGTATTTTCTTAGTTGATTCTATACTAGTCAAGGAAAGGAATACCTGATTTGCCCTGTGCAGCAAGTTAATTAACCTAAGATATGTCTTAAAGGTGGTGCAAGTCAAATTCCAGTTCCAGGCTTTTCAACATAGTCCAACGTAAAGCTTGTGCTGCCCAGTTTTTGGTTGGAAACATATAGATATTTTGTTAAAAAAAAAAATGTTGTCTAAGAAGCAGGTTCTGATTCTGAGAACATTATGCTGTTTGTGCAGGATTAAGAGTTGTAAAGATGTTGAATGCATGAGTAAGAGAATAGAAAGTTAATTGGTTTTATATGTTCTGAAAATCATAACTGTATCATAAATCATAAAGAAAGTTGAATCAAATCATGAATTGCATCATAAATCATAAGATTTTTTTTCACAAATTTGTCAAAAATACAAAACAGATATGCTAAAAATCTAAATATGTACATATAAAGAAAAGTGATTTTACCCCATTTTTAATCCATATCTACCATATAATACTACCACTTTAAAATCGAAGTCTACAATTATATAATCAAGTTTGACTTGAAAGTCAAATAATCCAATGCAATGGCTCTTTAACATACATATAATGGAAAAGAAACTCAATATATGATCTTTTTTTATATAAATGAATGGTGTTTTTATTAAAGAGAGTTAGAAATAGTACAATCACCCTAAGAGGAGGGCATGGGATGTTACCTCTCCTTAAGGATGATTCCAAACCCAACAAATAAGTTTCTATTAAGGTCTGTAAAACAAGTCTCCCTTGACAAAACTAAACAGAAGTGAAGAAATGACAAAGTAGAGAATTAATTCTAAATTGAATTTGAATCACATGAATCATATAAATTGTAAGATTCATGAATCATAGGATTCAAACAAAATTTGTAAGATTTTTGAGAAGGATTCGTACAATAGATTCAAACTGAAACACTTGGGATTCATGAATCATATCATAAATTGTAAGATTTCGATAACTTTAATTACATGAGATGATATCAAATAATCACAAGAAAATCAAATTTTGTTCATAAAAATATCTTTGAGCAGTTCAAAATATCTCCATGAAGAAATTTTTCATCACACAAATGAGATCTATGGATGTCCAAAAGCATTACTAACCACTGAATCTTCCATTCCCTTGTCCACAATAGGACTCACGCTCCTTTGTTTCATCCACTACAGTAGTTTCCAGTTCTACTTTCTCTGTCTGGAAAAGAAAAATACAAGGACAAATTGGTCAAGTGATTCCATCTAAATTATCAGTTTTTCCATGGCCTGACCTGGCAGGATAGAAACAGAAAGAAGGGGAAAGAATACAGACAAATGTGGAAAAGAGGAAGTATTTGGTGTAAGCTCTTATAAATCTGGAAGTAGGAAAACAGCAAAGAGTTACACCCAATCAATTCCAAGAAATGCAAGATATTATTGGTTAAGTCGTTAATTAAATGTTATAAATAGCACACTAAGTGCACTATGCAAATAATCTTCAGATGTTTGGCAATCAACAAAAAAAGCTCAAGTAACAACCGAATAAATGGTTAGCAGAGTTGGAATCCATTTGAAATGACAAACAAACATTAAACTCATAAGGGAACTAAGAAAAATAATCCAACAAATATATCTTGCATGGTATCCATGCTTTACAGCAACTTTATATCTACCAAGTTGGACTTAGTTAATATGCTGCATTACTACTCAAAACAAAGAGGAAACATCTCTAGCAACAACTTGCTTAAAGTAAAAATTTTGTCAACAAAAATTGGCAACCTTATCTTTGGCAATAATTTAATGAAAAAACTTCATACCATATAGGTAGGAAACATAGAGGCATAAGTTCAGACAATGACATACAAAATAATACAAAGTTAACCTAAGAATGTGACATATTTGATTTAATGAGATTTGAACGAGTAAACACAATTCAGCAATTCCTTGGGCTGCATTTATTTCAAGTATATAAGTGGACTGGGTGTAAATTTTGTACCTAGTTCCCACTTTCCCTTGTTTGTTTTGCTTGCTATACACCTTTTCCACTTATGGCTCAGATTGGGAAGACTACAAATACAAATATGTACAGTACAAATACAAGGTTTAGAAATATAATATACAAGGTTTTGCACTGTACATATTTGTATTTGTGCTCTTACCAAACTGAGCCTATGGGGAAAGAATTTTTCACTGGGACCACATTATTTTCATCTCCATTGGTGTAAAATGTTCATCCCAAAAAGTGATGCAAATTTTACATCCCTTCCTCTGCCATCCTCTCCCATGTAAATCTGAGACAATATCATTTTATTACACACTTTGCTTCCAAACTAACAAAGTAATATCTGAACAAAAAAAAAAATATGATTTTACTCGCTTCATTTATCTAATGAACATTTTATCTGGTACAACAAAGCAAACACTGAAACACAACCTTATACGAACAATCATCCAACGTCATTCTTTGGAAAGACAACCTTTAAGTATTGCCATACTGGAAAGAAGTGCACAAAGGGAAATACCTCTAACTGCCTCAATGTGTCAAGCAGGACAATATGTTTACGTTGAAGAGCTTTCAACTGGTTTTGCAGCTCAGAGACTTCCAAGAGCATAATAGATTCACAGTCTTTGATGACCACTTCACTCAGTCCTTCCTGTTGTAATCGCGATCGTAGCTTGTCAGTAGATATCACAATGTCATCCATGGGTGCAAAATCACTGCTCGAGAGCATCCTTGGGAAAAGATCTTTAGCAGACAGCAATGCCTCAACCCATGCTGCCCTGTCTTCTCTTGACAAACATCGCAAATGGAGGGTCTTAGTGCCCGTGAATATGGAGAGTCTCTTATCATCTGACTTGCTTGCACGAATTGATGAAACCTGTATATAACATTATCTAAAACTTGCTCACCACTTGAAAGCAGGAAATGGTGATAGATAGAGCTATGCAAACATATAAATTGACACATAAAATGAAAATTATACACACACAGGCTAATAAAAAATGGATAAATGCATATGAAAAGAATACCTGCATATATTCACTTGTGATGAGGTGGGAGTGCATATGATATATGTAAGTAAATTGGTCTCCACTCCCCCTCCATGGGGAAGCAGTAAACTCATAATTATAGGTATTTAATAAAACTAGGAATTCACTTATGTGTTAGATTGAATAGATCTTTCATATGCAATAAGCATATGATATTAGATTGGAAAGCTCTTCTGCTGAGGAACCTTGTCCCCTATTTATTTCATTCTCTACAAAGGCACGTCTAGAGGTCATCAAATAATTCCAAGGATATAAGAAAAATGAAGCTTGAATACATCTTACATGTACAGGTTGTACGAGTATTTTCAACACAATCCTCTGGTTTGACTTCAACAAGAAACTGACTCTGGTACTGGATCACCTAATATCCATCTTTCCCCTTGGAAATGATTCGATTGTGATTCATGACAGTAACAAACTTCAAAGTACCCCAGGAAAAAGAAATGGAAGTAACACCCTATACTTGAAAACTTGAATATTGATGCATACAGTGAACGAGTGAGTATAATGTGATAAAAATTAAAAAAAAAAATCAGAAATGTAGTGGAAGGAGGGATTGAACCTTCAAATGTAAACTAGATACTATCCTCATAAAATTAGTTCTCTTTCTTCCATTTAAGGAAGGCCAAGCACCATGATCGTGCAACTAACTTCGTTCACAATAGCACCTTGCACTTATTAAAATTAAATGGTAAGAGGAAAATGGATTGAACCTTCAAATGTATCTCTCCGAATGGTTTCCACCGCTTGGTAGACCCGCGTAAGCCATTGCTACAACTGGCCTTTCTCATATACCTTAATGAATCCTCTCCGATCACCTTAACACCCTTTTCTCTTGCAGGACTCATCAAAATCTTGTCCGGCCCATGGACCTTATAATAAGAAAGAACCCCGTCCTCGAGCACGAACCACCTAGACCTCCATCCTTTGCCGTAATTCACCCACTTATAAAGAATTCCAGCTACACTTCCATTCACAGCACCATTAGCGCAACAGCCCTTGGAATCTCTGGTTTCCACAATCGCATCTTCTAGCTCATGATTCGCTGCAGCAGAGGCAGCAGAAGCAGCAGACACTCTACAGTCCGAATCAGCACCCACGGACGAGACTTGAGTTGAAAAACTCTGCTTGTTCGAACCAAATCCAACACTTCTAACAGAGTTGTCGTACCCTATTGCAGATTTTGCTACCCCTGGGTTACTCCGGTCTCGATCGATCGAAACCGGCGCAATGCAGCACAAAGGATTCATAGCAATAAAATAAGATCAATCCACCAAACAACTCAAACGTCAAAAGAAACAAGGCCAACAAAGGAAACAAATTTTTGACAAACAGAACGGAAACCACGATCAATCCCGTCTCATCTCATCGGAATCTCTCTCGAAATGCTGCAGCTGAAGAAAAGCTATCTCTCAGACATCTCCATTGACGGAGAGAAACCCTAGATTGGAGAAGATAGGTTGTGAAATCGATCCACTCCGCTGAGAAAAACAGCACCCGATCGGAGGTCGAAAGGGTGAGCCTTCCGAAACTTTTCCGAAATGACATAAGAACGACACGGTACGAACAGTAAGTGGATCAGACGATCAACCTGAGGAGAGAGAGAGAGAGAGAGAGACAGTTATAACTCGCTGTAGATGCAGTTCAGAGCAATTAAGCTTGCAGACTGCAATAGATCCATTAAATTCGCTGATCAGTGTGCAACAGTGTAGTTTGAAAAATACTAAAAGGCAGTGCCCAAAAAAATAAGACCGTTCGGAACCGGTGGTGGACCGCCGGACCGGGGGCTGTATTCATCTTCGGCTTATTTTACACAGCTAACGTGCGCCATAGGGAGTATGCGTAAGCGTAATGATCACTTGGGTGGAGCTTTGTTCGTTGGGTTGGAAAAAAGATGCGGGTGGCCCCTACAAAGCACAAGCTCCTTCGGTTTTTTTTGGTTGGTTCGAGACAAACAGATTGAAATATCCATTAGAATGACGAATATACCCATATTGTTCATGTCTATGCAGAGGAAGTTGCGGGACGCCCATTTTGGGTGTTTTCGAGATTTTCAGGCTAATGAAAATGATTAGCGCACAAGGTAAGGGATGACGAGTTTAGAAGGATCTATAATGTGTGGTGAGTCATGACTCATGAGTGTGTAAGCGCGGTGTATAGGCAGGTGGAGAGGGCAAACGTACGACATGCTTTTAAAGGTGGGAAAGAAAGCAAAATGTTGTAATTTTTATTGGTGGAGATGTAAGATCCGATCACCTCGATCCATCTCCGTTATTCACTTGGTGGGGTCACCTTTGCAAATCAACGAATATCCAACTTTTTTGTAGTTTTCAATTAACTTGTTTCGTCACATCGTGGAGGCATATGATCGTGATCACATGCAGCTTAACAAGTGGCCCACCATTTTTAAGGTCTGCAATTTTCGGAAATAAATATTCCTATGTCATTTGCTTTGAATACTTTGTATTTTTGGCCACGTGTTTTCATCAGAAAAAAAAAAAAAAAAGAAAAAAGATCTAGGATTATTTATTGTGCCTTCGAACAAAAATAATAAATGCATACAGTCACCGGGGGACTTCAAGAAAAACACACTTAGGGGTGGTGATGCTTTAGCCTCCCAATTTTTGTTTTGTGACTAAATTTTTTTATTTCGCCACTTTGCCCATCGTTATCATTCCGTCACCATTATACTCAGCAATGGTCCCTTATGAAAGACATATAACAAACAAAATTAAATTTATAGTTGTATATAAAATAAATAAATGATATTCCCAAAATATATGAAGCATATGGGATTGATTTTGATACACACCCAATACTTAAAAATGTAAAAAAAAAAAATGCACGTATTTCTATATGGATCTTGATTTTTTAATACTTTTTGAGGTATTCAAATGCGTATAAAATAAATTTGTATAGTGTAAATGCATACAAGATAATACAAAATATGTAGAGTGCAAAATTTATATTTTGTATTATTTTGTATATATTTGTACTTATACTTTTTCCAAACTGAGCTTTAAGCTGTATTTAATTGCAATGCAAATAAATTGAAGGAAAATGAGTGAAAATTTTGACCTATTTTTGTTTCAAAATTTATCTTATTTTTGTTTAATTACAATACAATTGAAGTAAATTAAATGAAATTTTGCATTTTTTCATTTGCACTTTCATACATTTGTAGTAGCTAGTGTAAATAAAATTGCATTACAATCAAAAACAGCCTTAGTTGTAAACTTGCACTATCATTTTCCTTGGCTTTATAATCATACATATCTTTTTGAAAGCTCAAGGTACCATATAGGTTCCAGCTATTTCTCTGGAAGTTAGTATGGGATGGATTGTTCACCAAAAATAAATGTCTTGCTTGGCTAAGTGAATCGGATAGGCTCTATACCCTTTGTAAGGTTCATGAACAATCCGTGCATCACCTCTTCTTCCAATGCCCTTTAGTTCGAGCAATTTGGTGTGAGGCTCAAATTGGGTTAAACCCGTCATCCATGCATACGGCTCTAACCAATTGGTTCCTCACATTAAGCACTCATTATGGTAAGCAACAAGCGTTGAAAAGCCTAAGCCATTTCAGTATTATAGGCTACCATATTTGAAAAGCAAGAAACAAAAGATTATTTGAAAATGAGCAAACGGACCCCAAAAAAGTGGCAAACACAGTCTTACAGTTTTTACATGAAGAGTTTTCAAATCATCCTCAATCTGGTTCATGTCCCCGGTATCCTCCCACAAATGGCATGCTCACGCTATTCCTTGATGGTTCTTTTGACCCAGTTTCTGGCAATGCAGGACGAGGGTTCATCATCTCCCACCCCAGTCAACAGTTTGCCATTGCTGAAGTATCGCCTTGTTGGACAATTAACAGCTATGATGCCGAAGTTCGAGCCCTGCTAGGAGGATTGTAAGAAGCCTTAATCCACAATATCTCTCATCTTTTGGTATATTCTGATTATGAACCTTTGGTAAATTTTGCAAATACTGGTAAGACATCTCAATGGATCGATCAGTTACACAAGAATCATCTCAAAAAACTAATCTCCTCTCTTAATTTTATATCTTTTGTGAGTTTTGTCCATATTTATACACAACATAATCAAATGGCCCACCTTTTTGCTTATATTTCATGTAAGGGCCAATTTAAGTTACACTACAACCGACTGCTGTCATCACATGTAATTTTCTCATTATGAATATATATTTTTCTTTCTTGTAAAAAATAATAATAACGATAATAATAATTATACATATCTTTCGTAGGGATTGGATTTCAATTTACCACGGTGGCAGGTATTTGAACGATCAGGACCCATCCATATTTGATGGATTTGGATACACGTCTTTTAAGTCATCCATTTGCATGCATCATTTAAAGCCTTTAAAGAGTTACAATAAAATTTTTGAATAACAAAAACAATAATATGAGCTGATATTTGGCCCGTGTGGGACCTATTGAAATCTTGTCATCTTGATTACTTCAATCTCGGACAAAGAACAATCAAGTACTCAATTAGAGTTAGAGTAAAGGGTGCAAAAGGTACGCTTTACTATCTTAATTAGTTTACAAGGTTGGTTGTTCTTTTGTTTTGTTTTATTAAAGACTATAATAGGATTGTCAACGGCTAAGGTCTGGTTCGGAACATCTGTTCATACTAGTTCCGAATTGATTACTATTAATTAGAAAAAAAATCAACCCAAAGACATTGATCTGATTATTAAATGGATATCAGGTCCTAGTGTCCTACCCAACTAGACATGATAATACTAACATCTATATACATAACAGCTTAAAACTTGATTTTGATAATGTAATTGTTGAGGTTGTATCTTATTTTTCAACCATTGAATGATTTTTAATTTGACATTGATGTAATTTTTTTTAGGTTAAATAAGGTTTTACATATAAAATGTTTCTCTTGTATGTAGGATTAAGGTTTTTTTAGATAAGTGAGAAAGAAGTTTATTTATTTTTTCTTGTTGAAGAGAAAAATATAAAAGTAGAGAGAAAAGGTGCTCTTGGTGTAAGAGTGGAATTTTTCTTTTGCTATTGTTCTTCGGGTTGGGAGAAGAAAGATAGAATGAGTGTACAAGGGTTAAGGGTCTGTTTGGGTTGCAAGCCACAAGTTACCTATATTGTTTCTCAATTTTCTTTTATAGAGAATGATAGTTTTCGTCTTTTCCGTAGATGTAGCGGTAAGGCTGAACCATGTAAATTCTTTATGTTCTTGGTGGTACTTGTTTTTATTTGTCATTGATTAAATTTCATTATTTTTGTTACTATTAGATTTTTCTTTATTGCTATTTTAAATACTTTGTGGTTTATCCTATGGGTGATTGTTGTGAGGCCTCAATAGTGACCTTACTAAAAATGATAGTGCAATAGTAATTAGTAAATTATTTATATGTTTATAAATCAAGTATTTTTAAGTGATGGTGCACACTGGTATTCCTTGTTGGAGGATAGCTCAGACGCTTGTCTAACGAGGTTGACTAGCCCGAGCTACAAGAAAATAATTAAAGTACCCAAGGTGGACACTCCGATACTTAAGTTAGCAAAGAGTGTTTGAGAGTGCTAGAAAGCGAGAGAGCTAGAAAGTTCTGAGAGCTAAACCACATGTACCTTCTTTAATTAAAGGATGCCTTTATATAGGTGTAGGTAGTCGTGAGCCTCACGTAGCACATTCAAGATCTTCGGGAGGATGTGGCTTATCGGCCCGCCACACACAGAGATGGTTTCCACATAAAGTGATAAAGGTGGTGTCGGGGTGCTCTCTCAAGGTGTGCAAGGTACATTTAAGGTGTGTCCGAGGTGGCTCCGAGGTAAACTCAACCAACTTTGGCAAAGGCATGTCATTGCCTACGTGGTGCCGAGATGTTATGCAACAGTTTGAAAGTGGCACATGGCATGATGTCACTAGATGGCCAACTAACCTCTCATCATTAAGAAAAATTATCTTATATATTATTATTTATCAAATGTACCCTTTTAGACATAAAAATATAATAAAGATTATAAGAAAAATAAATAAATATTTATATATTATTTATAAAATAATTGCTTGGGAACATCCAATAAATAAGCCAACCCAATTATTAATTGGGAACAAAACCACTTCAGTTCGGTTGGTTAGATAAAACCAATGCGTTGACAGCCCTAGCTAGAAGAGGAAAGGTGAACTAAATAAATCCAAGGGGTAGCTCTTCCCCAAAATCCTTAAAAATAGCATATACCATAACTCTATTTTTTCTCATAACCTAGCTAGTAGTATTTTTTTGGCTAATTTGTTGCATAATTTCTCCTAAGATATACCATGCAATTATCTGTTGTGGCCTAATAATTCACTCTAATTTTCTATCATTTTACAATATTTTGTTAAGCTCTATACATTCAAATGGGGTGTGGCTTTCTTCTTTAAACAATTGGTTATATCAACAGGAGAAGAAGAAGATCCTCATGGAGAATCGAGAGACGGAGAAATTTGTTCAGGCGGCAAAATGGAAAAGAGTATTTCAGCTGGAGAAGAAGATCCTCATGGAGGAGATAACAAATAGGGGGATGAAGAGTCTGAAAATAAGGGAAGACCAACGAGCAACGATCCTAATGGACTCAGAAGTGGTCGACTGGTTTAAAGGTTTTGTAGATGGTTTACTACTTGCAAAAAGAATACGGGGATGGAGAAATGAAATGACAAACAAGGGAAAAAGATTTACAGTAGAAAATAGAAGAAACAGAAATGGAGGTTTTCTTGTATTAACATA